TGGCAGCACATGTAGTCAATCTACACCTGAGTCGTTACGACTGATCCTCTGTGAGGATTAAGGAAATCTCCTATTTGCCCCAGGGCATGCAGAAAGGGCTATAAACGCTGATGTCACTGCTTGGCCCGAGGGAGTACAATAAAGACCTGAAGCGATTAGCGCGCACCTAGAGGCGTTCTCAAAATCCGAAAATGCTCTGCTAGAGCACTTGCAGCAGAAGATGTCGGCGTCGACTGCGTCCATGGCTCACAAAAAAGCGTAATTGAACGTGTACTGGATTTGAGACGTGAAGAATCTCGACCATGAGTATGAAAAAGTCTGTAATTTCAAACTAACACTCAGCAGGAGCTGTGACATGCTCCCATGGTACACGAAAGAGAAATCTTGATTCCAGACCATTGCTCAATCGAACGTATTTTTTTATCAAGCACGAAATAAACTAACTAATCAAAGGTTTAAAGGGCGGTGATCATGGATATGTTAAATCCAAGTGCATCGACAGTCAGTTCGGGATCAACTTAGGCAATTCTTTTAAGAACCAGTCAGAGGTGTTGAAAAGAATGATGTTGATCGCTAGCCAAGTGTCAATAGTGCAGCAGCTGACACCATACCTTCCGAACGCTTTGTTGAAAAACAGGTTAGAGCTTGCAGAGTATCGTCCATCTCATCATACGCGGCAGGAAGGTATTTCGGTGCAAACGAGGCGAAGACATCAGCTGATGGTGGAAACGGAAGGAAGTGGTGGCCCATTGCCAACGCTACAGGCTAGTATTGGCGAAGACGAACTCTTTGCCGATGCTGTTGTTGCGTATATGGTGCGAAATGATAATGATACGGACTTGTCGACAACATATGCGCAAGCGATGGCAAGCGACGATGCAGTTAAGTGGCGGGAAGCTAAGTGGCGGAAGCTATGAAGCTGACCTTCCCACCCTTGGCCAGAACCAAACCTGGATATTCAAATCGAGAGGAAAGAATAATTGCACAAATGGATCTATATGGGTTTCTGCCTTGGAGCGTGATCAAAATATATTCCGGTAAATAGCACGACATGTCGCGAAAAGTTGTATGATTTGGTCACCGACATGAATTCAATTATAATTGATACTTGCGGTTGTTTATAATACACCAACCAAGTGGAACAACTGAATGTCGATACTGCTATTTCTAACACTTTGCTGACAGATAACGCCGCTATGAATGTTCCGCTTAGTTTCGACAACGCTCAAGGATACGTATGATAGCTGAAAAATGCTTTCTACGAGCTGAATTAAGTAGCAAATACTTGAGACAAGATAACACACCGTGGCTATAAATGGCCCCAAGGTCTTCAGGGCGATCAGTGCGTTGATGTCAACCGAATCCAAAATAATATGTTATGTTGGACGCCATGACTTTCGCTTCAAACAAATGCAGGTAGATCAAAGAAGTCAAGAAAGTGCTTCAAAATTCATTCAGGATGAAAGATCCGGACAAGGCAGTATTTGTTTCGGGCATGAAGATTGACCACGACAGGCCATCTAAAACACTTACGGCTTAGAAGATTTGCTACATCGACGACGTGGTCAGACAATCTGGACAACAAGATGCTTAGAGTCTCGACACCCGTGCGCATCACGATTGAAGGTGTCGTTAACGCAGTCGCATACCGCGAGGGATACTCGTTTAATGATGCGCTCAAAGCCAAATTGATCCTTGGTGGATGTGTGCTGTACATAACGACACATATTCGACCGGATGATGCGTGATTACACAGCTGTCTTGTTTCACGCGGACTGCAACATTGGAACGCAACTATTTGCATGCTACGCGACCTAAAGCGTACACGCCCTACCGGTATTGTCTACCAAGGCAGTGTTACATTGCGGCTATAGTATATTCAAAATGTGGTCAAGCAGCAATACCGATGACAAACGTTCGATTGCGGGAATCACGATCATGATTACAGGTGCTCCGGTTCAATCCAGAGCACCAGCTAACCGTTGTACGTAGCTCGGCGAAGGCTGATGATGATCTTTATTTAGTGCGCGTGATGCTTAAGGACAAGGGTCACGAACAAACGGAAGGCACACAAGTTTAAGTGGAAGCAAATGCTTTAGCCAACAACGCCAGATACCATGCTTGGGAGAAGCATGTGAACATTATGCTCCACTTAACACGGAAGAAATTTTGAGAAGCGTCAGCATACAGGTACGCTGACGAAGGCACTTGGTACTGAGATGCTTGCGTTCATACGTGAGGCAACGGGTAGTAAGACCAAGCCAATACCAATAATCAACAAACATAAACGGCGGATGGGGATGTTGAGATGACGCCACTAGATATTATTAGAGATAAAATAATACAGCTATATGTATATTTATGCATAAGTTTTACATTTGTTCTACTCGATTAAGCTAGTGTTTAAGGTGTTTAAGGTTGCTCATATGTCTATGCTTACACCCGATCTACCCATTGTACCTGTCTAACGTATTGTTTCGTGCAATTTTCCTGTGATGATGCAGACGTATCCAATAGCCGCAAAGCCCCCACGAAGAAAAAGACGCGGTATAGATGAACGATGTGTTTTAGCTTGCTTGGACTATTCTTTCGTAAGTGTACATCTAGAACGATATTTTGATGTGTCTTACTTATATCATCCTTCTGACCTGTCATGAAACCGTTGTGAGCTCAAAAAATATGGTAGGAAGTGGTCAAAATCGACAGACTATAAAAAACTCATAGAATTTAGTGCAATGGCTGTTCTTGAACTACGTGATTAGCCTACGGAATACACAATCCTTCTACTTATTGGTGTTCCTCCTCGCGACCTCAGCTATAAATTCATTAAGCAGATTCCACTCGGTCCATTGAATAGGTTCGAAGGGTCCTTCCAGTAATCGAGCGACTATGTATATGTCAAATTTAGCTTCGCACCATGCTCCAACCAAAGCATTTTCAGTCTCCTTTGCTATGCCATCCGAGCGATATGAGAAAAATGTTGTATAGCTATAAGAATTCTCATAGTAATACATTGCTTTTATCAACCAGACGAGTACTTTATCCGAAAGGCTGATTCTGAGTTTGCCAATCGTATTTGTACCGACCCAAAAATCTTGCCGTGGGCTATTCATGATCTGAACAAACATGTACTGCATCCAAGCATAATTCAGAGATGCTTTGTTTGGGTCCGACATGATTTGAAAAACATTTATTTTTTTACCGAACCTGTTTTTCCATTCCCAATTGGGTGAGTCAATTCCACTTGCTTCACGCAAAAATGCATCAAGGGCATTGTTGTCGTAACGAGCTCTTAAAATCTCCAGCGTGCTGGTCGCAGCTTTGATTTCTGTATTATATTCGAGCGAGTGCTGCACAAACGCTTTGAAACGAACTAAAGCAGCAGGACTTTTCGAGTCTAAATCAAGATCAAACTGATCGAGAAATTTAGCCGGATTCGAAGGTGTTCTAAACCAAAACCGCGCCTGATCGACCTGAAGTTGCTCAATAACAGCTTCAAAATGCGGACTTCTACCTTCCACTTTAATTGGATACGCCAGTCTGAACACACTACCCACGTCAAAGAGAGTCTCTAATATCGCATATACGCCCAACGGCTCACCAATATGATTTTTGTTGAGCTCTTCAATCTTCATAACAATATTCTGGAATAATACGCCGTCACGCAGTGCTTCGTCGAGAATTATACCACGTTCAAATTCCTTTTTAACGTTCTCTTCAAGACGATAATTCCCTCTCATGCTTGATCTGATCGTATTTAACCACGTCCGATAGTCTTTCACCATGCTTTTGACGTTATTTGAAGTACCCACGTCAGGTGATTTATGCTTATGCTTCCAGTCGTTTGTCCACTTCGACCACAGATCCCGTTTCAGTACCTCAGCAACGTGCTTCAGATCATTGTCCTTCGCTGCCATAAGAATCATGTCGATCAAAGCACCGTCATCGTGTACTGTGTTTAATATCCTGATCGGCTCAAAAGTGGTGCTGGGGTGATCTTTATGGAATTTAGTCCCACTTTCCAGCCACAACCTTGTTATTTGGTCAAACTCTTTTTTTTCGTAACATCTGGATGGGAGCAGTCCAAACATTGTCTCCGGTGGCAAATCCGTGCGTTCGAAGAAATCTTCCAAATCTATTTCAACCTGCTTCACAAGTTTTTCCAGTTCTGAGCTTTTTGGTAGCTCATAAAGGAGACTTGCAAGAATGAGTGGATGGTAATATTTCTCCAAAACGGAGTATGGCATGACAGTATTCGACTTAAAAGTGTCATTGTAGACACTAATATACATCAGAAAAAGCTTGAGTCTCGAGTAGGTGAATTCATTTTCGTTGTCGAGTTTGATCGATTTAATCACATCGTCCAGAAGCGTCTTTTTTCTGATCCAAAACTGAATTTGGCTGTTCTGAGCGCGTGTGATGGTCCGATCAATTAAAGTCGAATCGCCACTAGTTAGAATATCGGCCACGTGACGCTGACCAAACCGAGCGAAGAGTAGCGCGAACAGATCGAGAGTTTCAACACGGATTTCCGAATTTACATGAGCAACAAAGTTGGCAAAAGATTGAAGCAGCGTACCGTACTTAATGTTATTCGTCGTGACCACGGTGAACAGATTTGCCTCAAACTTCTCGACAGACACAATAGCACGCATTTGGTCAGAAGGCGCCACTGTATTACCATAGCCCACCTTCTTCCAGTAGCCGAGGTAGTCAGACCGCAAATGCTCATACCCATGGAAAGCTGTAACGTCATCTTGTGGACTCTTCAAATCATTGAACCAATGTCGAAGTAGATGGACTTTCAGTTTCGCCGCGACTGACTCTGTTTCGGGATTCTTTAACCCGTTTGTAATGAACGTAGCCAGCTCTTGTTCAGTGTAGAAATTCTTGAGAGATCCGATCGAATAATGCATCAAGTCTGGGTGACGCTGACTGGATTCCCTTAAAAACGCTAGCCACGAATTTATCGGCAATTCAAACAAATCCAAACGCTTGATGTCGAAGTGCAACAATTTT